CTCAGAAGACCAATCAATCTAGAGATTGGCAAGAGGTCCATCACTGACATTTCACTCTCTTGCACATGTATGTATATATGCTCAGAGAGCGAAAGTGAACTCAGGTAGGCGAGTTTTGGAATTGGAATTGGAACTGTAATTTGTTTGTTTTTCCCCCTCCCTTGAACTGTGAGCCGCCCTGAGTCCCCTCAGGGAAAAGGGCGGCATACAAATAAAGCAAATTCCAGTTCCAATTCCAATTCCAAAACTCGCCTACCTGAGTTCACTTTCGCTCTCTGAGCATATATACATACATGTGCAAGAGAGTGAAATGTCAGTGATGGACCTCTTGCCAATCTCTAGATTGATTGGTCTTCTGAGTATCATCAAAGAATTGGAACGATCTCCCCGCTGAGATCCGGACCCTTACTGCCCTTCCGGCCTTCCATAAAGCGACGAAGACCTGGCTGTTCCGGCAGGCCTGGGGCTGTTGAATTGTCCAGCCCCATTCTAGGTTGTGAATGTTGTTGCAATTTTAAACTGTTGTTTTATTTTTATATTCCCCTTCCCTTTTTATTGTAAACCGCCCTGAGTCTTCCGAGAGTGGGCGGCATACAAATAAAGCAAATTCCAGTTCCAATTCCAATTCCAAAACTCGCCTACCTGAGTTCACTTTCGCTCTCTGAGCATATATACATACATGTGCAAGAGAGTGAAATGTCAGTGATGGACCTCTTGCCAATCTCTAGATTGATTGGTCTTCTGAGTATCATCAAAGAATTGGAACGATCTCCCCGCTGAGATCCGGACCCTTACTACCCTTCCGGCCTTCCGTAAAACGACGAAAACCTGGCTGTTCCGGCAGGCCTGGGGCTGTTGAAGTGTCCAGCCCCATTCTAGGTTGTGAATGTTGTTGCAATTTTAAACTGTTGTTTTATTTTTATATTCCCCCTCCCTTTTTATTGTAGCCACCCTGAGTCTTCCGAGAGTGGGCGGCATACAAAACTAATAAATAAATAAATAAGTTTCTCTGCTTATTCTGATTTTCCTTGCAGATACAGTCAACCGTAGATTGCTGGCACCTATGGAGGTCATGAAACATACCTCTTATTAATATTATTTCTGGCTTGGATTTTAATAGATCCAAGGAGAAGGCACTTCAAATGGGGTAATCCATTACCGAAATCCTATCTCATGATGATCTGCATCGCAATAGTTTCCTTGTTTGACTGCAATAACTATGAGAAAAATGCCCTCATTAAGTCAGCTCCCATATTATATTTATTTTACCCTAGTCCAGAATTTGCTATTTAGAATTGTTATTCTCTCAAGATCACACTACTTGCATTACTGTTGGGAAACGGGATATCAATGAAACAAAAAAAAAAAAGGAATTGATTGTAAATTTGATAATGGCAGCTAGCTTAGTGATGGCTAAATATTGGGGACGAAACTGGGACATTCAAAGAAATGAGTGGCATAATGAAATTTGAAGTACAGCAACAAATGATAAATTAACAACAAGAATTACATTTGAAAAGGGGTGATCAAAGCAAATAATTATAATGAAATATGGGGGGGGGATTTTATAAAATCAGTGTTGGTGGAAGGCAAAGGGAATAAGCCTACTCAAGAATCGATGTTGTTTTGGAAGGGATAAGGGCACAATTGGAATATATTATATATCTTTTAGTTGTTCTAGACAAAGAAATTATAAAGGGGAAAAAGGTCTCCAAGGGGTGGGGTGGGGGTGCACTGTAATATTTCCTTTTTTCCTTTTTTCCCTTTTTTTTGTATTCACTTTTTGTATTATTTGTATTTTAAAAATATTTAAAAATTACTACTTGCTACTTAATGCTTTGTAGACCTGATGAAGCCAAGAGACTCTTTCCAAGATATTCTCTGTTCACAAACAACACATTGTCCTCGTGAAGATGGTTTGCACCGTTACCCTAGTTAGATGTTTCTCCTACAAGGCCACCATCTGAGAAGAGCAACCAACTTTCAGTGGAGCTTCAGCTGTCCCATCTTCACAACTAGGTTTTGTTTTGATGACCATCTAAGATGAAAAGGAGGCATTTGTGTGAGAGAAGGTTGCCCCTACCATAAATGTACAATTTTTGGGACGGATGTAGGTTGTTCTGAACTGATAAGCTCTCTTGAAAATGACTGGAAGAATATGAGAGAGGACACTACTAAAAAGCAAACAGATAACAGAAGACAAACGAGAGGTGCTTATCAATTCTGGCACGAAATCAAAAGCTTTTTGCCCATACGAGACAATTCTGGATTCCAGCAAAATTGCTGTCTCCCGGGTCCAGCTAACCCTGAGCAAACAGGAATCATCAAAACATAATAGTTTTTTCTCTAGCGACAGCAGAAGGTGAGCATGCAATAATATTTTTCAGCAATATTAAACAGTATTGTTTAAGAGTATTTTTAAGAGTGTGATTTTTAGGAACAGAGGAGTGAGCTCTTTAAAGAGGGCCGTGAAAATATCTGCAGACCCCTCACATCCTGGACATAAATTGTTTCAACTTCTACCCACAAAAGGACACTACAGAGCAGTGCACACCAAGACAACTAGACAGTTTTCCCCCCAACGCCATCACTCTACTAAACAAATCATTCCCTCACCACTGTCAAGCTATTCACTAAGGCTGCATTACTATTTCTATTTCTATTTCTATTTCTATTTCTATTTCTATTT